GGGGCTATCTTTTGCCCCTTCTAGAAGGGTGACCCTCCTAAGGGGGTCACCCTATCTCCATGTAAACAGGCCCTAAGAGATGTAAGAAATTAACGCGAATTAAAACAATTAACACGAAAGTATGGATATCAGATACCTTTCACACGTGACTTTCAAGTAACACGTGTCATAAATTATGATCTCTTATCAAATTTTCATGATGAAAACACTAACCTTGTAAAACTGCAGAATCGACAAAAAGCGGCCTTTTCATGTTCCACTGCGCTTGTGTATTGATTGAGAAAGCTTTACTGCCTTCTGCGCCTTTGGCTAGTCTGCACAGCTTAAGATCAATAGATGACCCTATTCCCCGCTTCTCAGCTTCGGCCTTGAGGCCCGCGTGTTCAACAATATGCCTTTTCAGGGCATCAAGGGAATTATGTTCTCTTTTCAGGGGAATTCTGATCCTTTCCTTTCCCCCAAGAAAACTGAAAGATCCAGGAGATTTGGGATCAACGAAGTAGACAACCCCTTCTAAAACACGAAACGGCTCTTCGCTGACTTCGCTCTTCGACATTGTGGGTCGTGAGAAATGAAGACAAGACGTCAGACAATGAATAATCTGAAGACCTGATCGTTGGTGTCAAAGGTCGCATCAGCTTTATTTTTGGATCAACGGGTCATGGGAAACCCTATTGTTTGGTTACGCAAGCTGAAGAAAACAGACACGGCGATCACCTGGAGAGTTCCTTTGTGGGGTCTTCGTAGCCGTTCACGAAAAAAAGGGTCGTTTTCTTGTTTGTTATCACGGGTATCGGAAAATTATTTCTCTGTTTCACGTATCACGACAATCATATCATTCACGGTTCACGAATTTTAAAACTTTTAGATTATGGATCACAGAAAATAAATTAGTGCGATCACATTTCACGTGAAACCCCCTTACGGCCCCTCATAAATGTTTTCACAGGTTTCATAATTTTAAACCTTTATACTCTTGTCTAAGTATGCATATTCTCCATACTGTTCTCCATACATTTCCCGAGGTGCTGACAAGGAGAATTCGTTTAACAATCAAGAGCTTTTTTAGTTGCTGATCATTTCCTACATTCTCGTGACCTTACTGAGTGATTCGGGGTGATATTGTAAGGAGAAATTAGATACTAGTCACTCCTAGGGGTCAAAAAGAATAAAGGAACCAACCATCACGCAGGATGTCAATAAAATCCGATTCAGTATAAACAAAGATATGACAGATATTCATTGCTCGTATATTCGTGCCGAATTGAGAGGAAATCTGTCGAGTTTCATCGGAGCGCGCGGCAAAATCCTGTGAAAATCTGGAATGCGACACTATCCAATTTGTTCCCCACCCCTCCCCTATATGTGCGTTTCTTTGTTAACTGACCCTAATGTGTTTGGTCTGCTTGGGATTCACATATTTTCAGCCCCCCCTCCCCCCCCTCTCGTAACAGATTCTGATACACATTTGCAGGTTTGAGCTATTAAATTTCACGTTATAGAAGTTTTATATTGACCCATCTTTAAAAATATAGTTACCCCAAGAGCTCATTTGATCTTATTGACTCTGTATCACTCTCAAGAGCCAATGTGATGTCTTTGAGTTGAAGTTATGGTCGTTTTATATTATTCTTAACCCTAATTTTTGGTCTTGACCTCTGGTAAGTGACTAAAACCTTGAAAATGCTCTCTTGCATTTGCCCCCAGGGTCACTCGACTCTAATTGTCCGATGGAGCCTGGCGACGATTATATGTAAAGGAAGCTGAAGGAGCAGAACGACAGAGGAAACGAAGGCCTTCCGCTTGAAAACAAATACTGAATTTTGTTCGTGGAATGCCGTGTTCTTTGGGCTTAATCTTTAGATTAAGACACTAGTTACTCCTCTAATTGAAAGACAGACCAACAGACGCACAATTAACGGCATTTTCTTCTTTTGACGACGCAAAATAAGCATACGGTAGCTTGAGTTCGTAAATGGTTCCAATGTTCGGAGGTACAAACCTCATGCATCGTCCTCCCGAAAGGCCACGGACAACTGGACAAGCGAATAATGAACCAAGACAACTGGACTTCACGGCGGCTATGAACGACTTTAAACACATGTTTCCTAACGTGGACCGAGAAGTTATAGAAGCGGTTTTACGCGCTAACAACGGCTTGGTAGACGCTACTATTGATCAACTATTGTCGATGGGACTTGATATGGAAGGCTGCAATACCTCTTCAAAGCGGTCTGATCTTCCGCCCTTACCCTCTTACAGTGATGTGGATCGTTCGGAACCGCCTCCAGCTTACACACCTCGAGATGACAAAATTTCGCCGAGTTCTGGGAGTCCGTCTCGTCCGCTCCCCGCTAGACCTTACTCGGCATGGAATCCACCATTACTCGGCAAATTACCGGATGATTTCTTACGTCTCGGTCCTCCTTCAACGAGCTCTCCTGGCGTTTTTGGCGACAGTATGGGCGACCAAGAGCTAGAAAGATTTGTGGAAGATGAAAAATTGGCGATGGTCTTGCAGAATGAAGAATTTATTAGAGAGCTGAGACATAATAAGGATTTTATGTCGTCACTGGAAAAAGGTTTGTGAATATTCTTAGCGTGTGTTTAGGCATGTAATTGTTTTATGAAGTAATAAATTACCCTTGACTCAAGTGAGTTGTCTTTGATATGAAACAAAAAGAACGTGATATAGTTTTCTTAGTTTTGAAATTCGCCTTCTTCCAAGTGTTTGATGTACATACTATGGATACAGTTTCACTGTCAGTTTCCTCCGACAAATAAGTGTTTCACCTATTTATTTCTTCCTGTCTCATTTTCATTAAATATTTAAAAATACGTAATGAGGAACTACAAAAAAAACTTGTTGTGAGTATCGAACTTGATTTATCATTTATTTGCTTTTCTTTTTTTTGCTTGATGATTGGAAAGCAATAGTATATCTATTTCATTTTAATTTGTGCATTGTAGTATAGAACAGGGTAGGTACTTATAGTGAAAAACTCAAAATGGTTTCTTTTGTTAATCTACAGATAGGCAAAGAAATACAGTTCCATCTCAGAACATGAGTAAGTTTTTTTCAAAAGCTTCAGTTGTAATCAAATGTACACAAGGAAGTGAGTAGTTAATCATGGATTTTTTCCATTAAATATTTTTTAAGTATTTTGAGTGTGTGTGTATGTGTGTGTGTGTGTTTTAGATTTGTGAGTTCTCATTTATATCGTCTCGACAAATAATCTCTCCGATTTATCTGTGACAAAGTGTAACTTGTAAAAGTTTGTGAAAGGGTGGTTATTTTCAGGAGAATCAAGCCTAGATTATCTCTCACAAATTATTTTACTTGACATGATTTTAAATGCTTGCATACTATACTGTTACTCAGCACCAGTAGAAGCCCCTTCTAGCAATGTTCTAGTGGCTGCTGGAGGAAGCAACAGTAGCAGGCATGCACCTCAGTCTCAGACACCAGCACCAGTGCCCTCTGCAAGCCCAGAAACTGCTGGAGCAGTAGGTGGACACCCAGCCCCCGCTGCTGGTTCCACCTCCCCACATGACGATGCTGTCCTGAGGGAGAAGTTGAAGCATATGGGAAAGAGTATGCTGTATTTTTAATTTTTAAAAAAGGATTCAGTTTAAAGAGGATGACTGAAGCATGTGTGACACCTCTTGGATACGCATTTTACTTCACTTTCAATTTAATTTTCATAAAACAGACATTAGTTGAGTAGATAAAGTACCATGTGCTCTTCCTTGATCAATAAATTCTCTCTCAGACATCCGCAGTGATGAGAAAGTTTCTTACTTAAGATCTAGAATCTGTTAGTCTCTGGAATAATTAACTGAGTAATAAGCATGCTAAAACTTTTGTTCTGTGAACTTTGTTTAGAACTATTCAAACCTTTATTGAGCATATGCTAAAGCAATTTAGACTAGTAAATCTTTTAGGTACATGATGTTTAATCTGTACAAAACATTTTATAGAAATAGAATGATTACAAAATGTAAACTGCTTTCAACAAATTTTTTCAGGAATGGTTATAAATACAAATACCACATCCTGTGAGGAGTCAAACAAGCTTAATTATGTGGGTTTTATTATTATTATTATTATTATTATTATTATTATTATTATTATTATTATTACATATAAAGTTATTAAATACCACTCATCATCTTGGTAATCTTCAGGTACAAGAAAGAAGTTTGACAAACTGGCACGAATGTTTCACAGGAAGAATGTGAACAGACCCAAGTATCCTTTACACATGCAGAGAGAGTGGTCACATTTTGTAATGCTGTACACCACAATTTAGGGAGTTGCAATGGCCTACTGATCAGTGCACTGGACTCTGGGTCGAGGGTTCTGGGTAGGAGATCTGACCAGGTCATTTTGTTGTGTTCTTGAGCAAAACACTTCATTCTCGCAGTGCTGCTTCTTCCCCCCCTGGATGTGATGGACTAGCATCCCATCCAGGGGGGAGTAGTAATACTCTTAGTTGTGTCATGCTCAAGTTTAGACTTGCTTTTGCCATACCAAAGTTTAATTCACTATTCATCATTAACAAAATGATTGCACTGGAAAGTTCATTTAAAATCCAAGTTTGAAGTTAGTCTTGGCACCCCCATTTCCCCATGCAGTGTTAGGTAATACTTAAATGCAAACCTCAGTATTATAGAATTATCCACTAAACATTGCATGAGCGCAGGGAAAGGGAAAAATTTGTCAATAGTGTAACTCCTTAAGAAGTAATGATAATAATGATGAAAAAATAACTGTGGGATCTGTAATGAATTGGTAAGAGTACATGGGTAGTTGTTAGTGTTACTAGAGGTAGATTGTGTCTCTTAACCTTGAAAGTCTCATTGCTACTGGTACTGCTGCATCCACCGCCAACCTTCTGGAAGGTTACAGTGATGATGACGATGGTGAGATTGTTTCCCTATGGTGTAGCTTCATTATTTATGTCTAGTGCCATGTTCTTTGATTGACATGGGTGTTACTGGTCCTGGGGTTTCATTAAGGGCCATACACCGGGCAAATTGACCGCTTGTGAGGACGGCTCTGCCCACATGATTTGACCATGTGGAGGAAAGTTTATCTTATAAAGAAGTTCAGTTCAAAGAGTTTTGCCCGCCTGTGAAAACCAGTTGCCCTCCTGCAGAAAACATTAATGAAACTCCTGCTGGTTAGATTTCTAAGAATTGTTATCTTTTTCCTTATCTTTTGAATAAGTATAATTCTTTTGTTCTTTCTAACCACAGATAAAATGCTAAATGCTATGGGATCTGCAAGGCTGGAAATTATGGATGAGAGAGATGAGGACAAAGAAAGAGAGAAATCACCTGAAAAGACTGCCACTCAGCAGAAGGTATGGGCAGGTTATATTTTGATTGCAAAAGTGCTGTTGTTGAATATTCTAAGAAAAACTTCTAAATTTCCTGCAAATAATAAGTTAAAGTCAGAACTCAGGTTAAAGTGCTCATCTGGCTAAAGCTCAAATTTGTTTCCATAGCATAAAAAAATGAAAACATCAAGATTGTTGTTACTTCCATAGATGAGATGCCAGTCTTTAATAGGCTACCTCCCCCCTCCCCCTTCCCCCTCCCTCCTGCAAGAATTTTGTCAGATTTCCCTGTCAGTTTGAGACTCAATGAGAATAGTTGAGTGTCACACAACCCACTTTGTGTTTATTTGTATTTAATTGCAGGGGGACCTAGAATAATTATGGGGGTTACCTTTTTTGACAGTGAATGCAATCTGTGAATGTATAGATGTGCAGATAGGGAATTCCTGGTGCATGTTAGCCCTCACTTATCATTCATATTAGTATTATTGCTGCAGTGATTGTAGAGATGTGTATGCTCTGATTGGTTGAGGCCTCCATTATATCCAGCTATAATCCCTAAGTGCGAGGTGATTTTAGCAGGAGCGCTAAATTTCAGAGTGGTACCTCACAATTTGTCAGTGTTATTGAGGAAGTGATGAACATGAGAAAGGAAATATAATTCAGAAGAGCACATAAGATGTTTTTAAGTTTGGAGTAACACTTTTCAGAAGAAAGATAGGAAGTTTTTGCAGATGGAATTAAATGAACCTATCAAATTCTAGTGGAAACTGGCTCTTTATCTTGATACAAGTTATCAAAACTCTTGAAAGAAATGGTTTCAACATCACAATGAATATTTACTACAGAATTCAAAAGTACCTCAGCGGTTATGCTAAACTTGGCCTTCAGTGAATAATTGTTGAATGTTACCACCTGGCCTGTTCCTAATTGCAAGCAGGTGTCAACTGTAGGACCCCTCCACTGGGAAATCTGTCCTACTCCCCTTAGTCATGTGACTCAATTATTCAATTGTCTTTTACAATTTTAGATAGTATACCCAACTGGAGGTGACATATTAATCCTCTGACCACTAAGAGTGATTAGCACCTAATTTCTCCTTACAATATCACCCCTGAATCAAACATTTAGGTTATGAGAATAAAGGAAATGATCACTAACTCAAGAAACTTTGATTGTTGAACAAATTCTCCTTGTCAGTGTCGTAGGAAATGTATGGTCCAGGAGAACAGTATGGGTGATTTACATACTGTTGCTGGGGTTGAAAGGGTTCATATCATTATGTTGAATTGAATTATTGCACTTTTTTTTTTTCATGAAGCCACGGGAGGCAGAACAGAGGAAGCCACCTGGAAGTGTTGAACCAATAGTTTTCTTCTCTGACGATGATGAGTTTCAATTTAAACAAGAAAACTAGAAATACATATGTATATAGTGAAAAGAATAAATTTCAAATGTCATTCAGGTCTGTTATAGGGTACAGAAATTACTGCTTTTGATGTAAAATGGGGCGAGGATTTCAAGAGAAATACTACAGTACACGCCCCACCTTGGTAATGAAAGAGCACCAGCCTGAAGTATTGTAAGACTTAACAACTCGCATAATTTACAGTAAATGTCATGGCTGACTCCGAATCTTAATACCACGCCTGGCTGTTTTATTCTTAAATTTATCCAGTGCAGTGTTAACGGGAATGTGCACGTCAAAAGGAACGTATTCTGTGTAGTTGAACCAAGGGAATTGTCCCTCTTCATTGTCACTATATAGTAGGTAAACGTAAATTGTAAACTATTTATCCAACCAATTTATTAGGGGGCATCTCTCGGAAATGAAAGTCTGTGGGAAAGGCATACACCCAGGGATAGTTTACATAAATCATTACAAATTATTATTATAATACATAGATAAAAAAAAATTATTAAATTTTGATTTGTTTCGTAAACATTTCGAAAAATATTGAATTGTTTTTTTCCAACAAACATAACCATGGCAACATCATGACAGAGTTTACGTTTTGGGAGGGTATAGAGCTCTAATTTGTACAGGGATTTGTAAAATATGGGTGAAAGATGGAAATATCTTGGTGGTCATAGGGACCTAAGGAAAACCACGACGGCAATAAGGACGTGGCAAAACAAAACACATGATGGGCAGAACAATAGCCAGCACGAGCGTTTTAAAACCTTTGTACATTTCGTAGCCGTCCTCTGCAAAACAGCAACGTGAAATCTCCTGAATTTGCGCCGTCTGCGAACGGAAGCCGCGACGGCAACTTTATTTGATTTCCATTTGGAACTCGGCGCTGCTTATAGACGTTTAGCTGACGCTGAGGTGGGGCGCTGTAAGAGACGGTAAACATATGCAGCCATTTTCGAAATTTTGACTTGAAATAGAAATTGATTTTTTAATTGACATCTTCCTTAAGATATATTTCGTTATAGTATAAAAATGCTAGTATTCTATCTTAATTGTGGCAATCTGACTAGCTGTGCGACTCGCTTTCTATTTGGCAAATAGGTTTAATGTTGCTCTGCGTCGTCTGTCCAGTAAATTAATGTTGTGGTGAGGACTAAAAAAGTGGCACAAGGAACACATCCGTGTGTGTCGCTACTGAATTTTGTTGCATGAGATGATGGCAAAACCAGCAACCTACTTCAACCCTAAGGCTGCACAATTTTAAAGAGAGTGGTAAAAGGGGAGGGGGGGAAGGGTCAAGATCACGTTTCACGGAAAATAAATCGGTCCCTTCACAATTCACGGTCATTGTTAATTACTGTCGAAACTACAACCAAAATCACGGTTGACGACGACTTAAATACTTCTTTATCATTTCACAGAGAATTAGTTTGGAAAATCACGGTTCACGGCTACTAATGAAATCGCGATTCACGAGAAAAAAAAAAAGCCATTACACGTTTCACGGGGAAAAAAAATAGGCCATTCACTAATCATGAAAATACCCTTTACCACCCTCCTTAACCTTTCACTGCATAACTTAGTAGCTTTCCAAGTGAAAAACTTCAAGTTACGTACAGCGCACATACAGAAAGAGAAACTGAATGGCATGGATACTGGTGTCTTCCACTCACAGTTTAAGCTCACTTAATCTTTTAAGTAAAAAAGCGTACCTGTCTTTCGAGAGTTCCGCAACGGGATAAATGAACTTGCATGGCAGTGTCAAGGCACTTTGATTTTTCACTCGCCTCTCCACACATCCTAAACTTCACGGTTCTTACAGTGTACGTTATTGAAAAGTGCGACATGGAGGCTCTGAGTTGACTGAAATACTTAAGTTCTGCTCAGAGTCGGAACACATGGCGATCACTTGCCATTCGATTATTTATATTCAATCCAGATAATTCATGACTGGAAGAACTAAAAAAAAAACAACGACATTATATGTCAATATTAAAGAGTCAGGTGAAACCGCCTGAGATGGTTGGCTGAAAAGGAAACGCCTTTGTTGTCAGCCGTTGCAAACGACACTGTATCCTTAATTACAATTATCTGTTAAAGATAAAAGACATGGTTTAGTGGCACGTAACAATGTTGCCATACAAATCTTAGTGAGGATAATACTTGTTAAAATCACGAAGTGAAAATTTCGAAATTACCAAATGGTAAAAATGTGAAAGAGCAGTTTGGAGGACAGAAAGCGGAATAATAAAAAGAAACGGAACAGTCTCTAGATTTAATTTTACAGTGAAAGGAGAAAGAATTCCCTTTTGATGTCAATACGGAAACATTCCACTTTGTTGGACGACTGGTAGCCCCAAACTGTAAAACTAACACTTGGAATGAAATACCTAACCAATCTTTTGTAATGGTACCTTAAAAAGAAAACAAACTAGATTTCTTTCTTTATTTCCCAGTCTTCAAAAGTTCTTGCCTTGCATGTAATTGGCTTGAGGCCATTCTCGTGTATTCGGCGTTCTGAGAGAGCTACGCAAATTTGACAATAAAGAGGATACTTCGGAAACCAAACATTTCCAATTACAGTGCCAGTGATATTTCCAAAACCTTTCCATTTCCACTCCAGGAATTTATTGTATTCCCCCTCATTGTTGCCAATGTATTTAAGGTACTCCGCCAGTTGCTGTGGAGTTTTGAAATCACGCACTCTTATGACAGAATGCTTAAGATTTCCGGGGAGGAACTCTTCAAGTCTCTCCGTACCCATGACTACGGGAACTGAGCCTGCAGTCAGAGCATGACCTAGTTGCGCGTCCACGAAGTAATCACAATCCTGATTGAAAAACACCAAAGAGAACTTGTACTTTTTGGCTAGGTCAGTTTTGACTTCTCGAAATTCCTTCCCGTTTTCTGAACCATACCTCTCAACTAGACCTTGTTTGTTCCTAAGACATGCTCCATAAGAGTCAACTTGCACAAACTTCATCAACTGCCTCATGTACTCCGTCCGCACGGGTTCGCAGTTTGAAAAGACCGCCATAATGAGTCCATCTTTGTCCTTAAAAGGAACTGGTGGTGTGACATCTGGCTTCCTAAAAGTTGGCTCAGGAAAGTCCGAGTCCAGGCGATAACTATGCAAAAGATTGAATTTAGACATAAAATTGGGTTTGGTTAATGAGGGAGTGTAGACCGGGTTTTCTTGTGTTTGAAGGATCCACGGAACTGATTCCTTTGGAGGTATCATATGTGAATCCCTAGCATGAACCACGAACCCTTCCGCCTCATTCGCTCTTGAGTGATTGCTTGTCACCTCGCAGGCTACAGGACAGTCGCCTTGCTTCCAAGAAAGATGTAGATCCAGCTGCCTTTGTAAATATGTCGACCAGTAAATGATGAGCCATTGCTTAGCCTTTGGATCCGAGTCAATGACCGACTGCGATATTTCCCGCTGAGCATTCTCTCTCGTTGACCTTATGGAGTTAACATATACAACCAGTGAACTACCTTTTAAGCCGAAGAAACTTGTTTCAAATTTCCATAATAGCACTGTTAAGATAAAAAGGAAAAGTAGAAAGGATAAAACGAAGGATTTCCCTGCCATTTTAAACCATGAAAGAGTCGATGTCTTCTTTGTTGTATTTCTGGTACCCTGTTGATCAAAAATAAATATGTTGGGCTCAATAAAGAAATACAGAATTTTAAAAAATAATTAATTACGTCAAGAGACTGATAAAAAATCTCAACCAAACCACTAGGACGCAGAAAAATACCTTAAAAACAAATAAGATTTACACAAGCTTCCATGTAAGAAAAAAAGGCTAGGTTACCCACAGGGGTGAATGGAGCACCTGTACATATCGTCGGTAATCGAGAAGTCGTCAAATGAATGAAAGTATCTTTGTCCAGCTTTTGAGCCATCATGTCGCGAAAAGTCAACCGTGTGTGCAATCACCCTCCTTTTTCCTTAGAACAGCCGCGGTAAAAGAACGACTCTCGTTTGAACGTTGGCGTGACCTTTATCCCGTTAAATAAGCAATTGTTTTGTCTAAGCTTTAGAGTAAGTACCCTTTGTCAGAAACATCGAAGGTGTAACTATATTTTGGAGTCCCAACAATTTCATTTACCTCATTATTTTGCTTAATACTCCTTAAAACCATCAATAAAATGATGAGGTATGTATCGGATTCTCGTTCTTATCAAACTAAGGAGTTATTTATCTCATCGAAGCTTGGGTTTTTAAGTGGTTTTCACAGGCCAGTAATACGACCCCTGTTGTTGCGATTAATCATTAAAAGTATTTGTAGCTTTGACTTCCTCGATTGTCTCGGATAGTACTGAAAGAAATTGAAAATATCTTTACTGCTTGGACATTTCTGATCCTCTGCATGGTTAATAGCTGTATTTCAAATTTTAAATAATCGGTTTTAGCGGAGAGTCT